TTTCAATTCCAAGCTCAGTTGCAAAAAACTTAGGCTTTTTTTGCAAGAAACTACACTTTCTGACCACAGGCCGAGAAAGTGGAATATGGTTCATACTCTGCTGCTGGAACCACTGAAGCATAGAGTGATCTAAATCTTCGTACTTAGGTTTCCGCAACTTCTTCCTGCTACCGCCCTCCATCTCCGCTTCAAGCCACTTTTTTCTGTCCTTCCATATCGTAGTCACAGTCGACTGAGACAGCCCCGTACGGCGAACGACATCCGATTGCTTTTCACCTTTCTCTATTGCTGGAGTTATCGATAACTTTTCCTCCACCGAGAGCACTTTCAAAACAACCGCTGCGCTGGACAATAAACTTCCCACTCGTGACTCAGATAGTTTGAATTTTACACACTATAACACATTTGGTTACAATGCATATAATTAAGACGAACCAACTAACGTTTAATATTTTCATCATTATACAGTTTAATCATATTGTTTTTTCTTACTGTTCTCTAAGTTTCAGAGTTAAAACACACCATCAAATGATGTCATAGAATAAACTAAGTTTTACTGTTACATTTGGCGGACTTTTATTTTAATTTCATATTTATAATATTATAGTGCAAATTCCACGAGCCTTAGAAAAAATTTAATATCAATATTCATTGAAAATTCTTTAACTACCAATCGCCAACATCCTTAAGTGTCACGGTGAAGGTTATAATAATGTATACCGAAGTTGCGGTTTAACTTGTATTGCGTATTTAATTTATAATAATAAGCAAATTACAGAAAAAAGAGGAAATTCTAGTCTTATGACGAGTTAAAATTTTAATGTATCGTGAATAATTAATATTTTTCAGACATTGTGTTCGTATGTATAATAGGAAATAAGTCTTAAATTATTATAACAGTTATACTTTCTAGTTGTGTTTGTTTTTAGTCATAATATCTGAAATTTGATAATATCGTCGCTAAGGAATTTATTTCATTCTCATTTTCGGTTTATTCAATCTCAATTCATTCAATAGAGCAATAACATGTGTAGAAGATTTTTTCATTTAATTTAGTCGCTATGTTTTGATCGATGTCCCTATCCCCTTCACCATGTAGCATATACGTTGAAAATTTTTGGCGTCATAGCTACTATAATATGAGTTTATAGCGATAGTAGCTGAAAGTAACTACAAACAACTGTTACTTGTACAATTAGGTGACATTTTTGTTCTTCTCATAAAGTTCTCGATTTTCTTTTCCTAGATTATAAATTTAAAATTATGTTTTCCACTTTTGTTCTTACTTACTTATTATTAACTTCAATATTATTTTTGCACCCTTACATTTTGGATATTTTGTTCAATATGTTTCTAATGTTTTTGTATGCATCCATAAAACAACTCATATTTTACTGGTACAGTTCTTGTAAGTGCTTTTATCACTAAATTTAAATTTCGTCGTTAGTCGACAACATTCGATTATGTAGAACGCTGCAAAATAGTCGAACTACTAAAATAAAAGTATGTATACGGAGGAGAGTATTAACTTAAGAGACGACCGACAAGGAGACACAATACCTCCAAAATTGTTCAGTTAGTCGCAAAAGGATGCCTTTAAGCATAGGCATAGATAAACTAAAGATGATGCTTTAAAAATTAAATAGCGATATCGAAAAAGTAACAAACGAAGGCATTTACAATCACAAATGAAAACTATTCTGATTACAATCAGACAAAACACAATTAAACACTCATTGCCTTTCAAAATTAATAAGATTAGTAGTGACAAAAAACATAAATAGAATAAGATACGATAGATAAATATTTATAAAAAAAAATGGACAAAGGCTTTAGTTTTTTTGAGTAGTTTGAGCAGTTCTACGGGAATTTCATCAGGACCGGGGGCCTTACCACTTTTTGCTTGTTGGATTGCATATTCTATTTCTTCTCCGATTATATCAGGCCCTGTATCATCTGTATATTCGTTTGAGATTTCTTGTCTATCTTTGTCATCAAACAGTTGTGATATGTATTCTGTCCATCGGTTCATTTTTTGTTGTAAATCTGTTATAATTATACCATCTGTATCTTTGATCTGTCCTGTCTGTGTTGTTCTTCTCCTTCCTGTCATTTCTTTAATCTTTTTGTGTACATTAAAAAAGTCATATTTTCGCTCCAATTGTTCCAACTCCTGGCATTGCTCACTTAGCCATCTTTCTCTAGCTTCTCTTATTTTCTTTTTTATCAGTTTATCTGTTTCTTTGTATCTTATCGGATTATTTGTTTGGTGTAACCTTCTTTCACGTTTCAACTGTAGTATTTCCTCATTCATCCATTCTTTATGTTTCCTTTCTTTCGGTGTTAAATTTTCTCTCCCTGCCAACATTACGGCATGTTTAATATTCTCCCATTTTTGGTCTATGTTATCGGTATTTTTGTTCAGTTTCTCTATATTTTGTAAATTTTCTTTGATGTTCACTATTGTTTTCTCTTTTATATGTTGTTCATTCAGTCTTCTCACGTCAATTTGTTTCTGTATGTGTTTTTTAATGATCTTTAGTTTTATTCTTAATGTGACTACTACAGGATTGTGATCCAAGCCTATATCTGCTCCTGGGTAGGTTTGAGCTGAGAGTTGCGAAATCTTTGACTAACAAGGACAAAGTCAATTTGGTTTCTGACTACTCTACCTTTGGTGTCACTCGGAGATTTCCATGTGTACAGTCGTCTGTTAGGTAACTTGAAAAGAATGTTAGCAACTACTAACTCCTCCGCTTGACAAAATTGTACCATACGGTCTCCTCGTTCGTTTCGTTCTCCTAATCCATAGTCACCCACATAACCGTCCACACATCCATGTCCAATTTTGGCATTAAAATCGCCCATTATTACTGTAGTATGATGTTTCTTCATTGATTTTAGAATTTGTTCCAAGTCGTAATAGAAACTTTCAATTTCATCATCATCTTTATCAGCCGTAGGAGCATATACTTGTATAATATTTATAATTTGTTTATTTGACTGAAGTTCTAGTGTCATTATTCTATCAGAGAAGGGAGTAAAGCCTGTTACACAATTTATTTATCCCTGAGGCTAAATATTTAAACTATTGAACTTGCTCTATTAATGATGCTAGACACATTTAGCAAATTTCATACGATTCTTTAAGACTTACACTATCTCAGAAGTTAAATGCATATTGCGTTTTCATCGAAATTATTTACAAAATAAACGTTTTAAAAAGGGGTATGTTTTTTACTTATAAACAATTGTAATAACTTCTATATTTTTAAAGCTACAGACTTGTACGTAAAACCATTGGATAGCTGTTAAAAAAACTCACATTAAAAAAAAACTATGGCCAATAGGAACGAAGTTAAGGACTATTTTGACGAAATTTTGGAGCGTTGCAGCTGATACTCATCATGCCTTTATTACGCATACTAAGATATATTACCGGTTTTCTATTATATAGATGACCGCTATCCTATTCACATGAATACATATAAAATGTAGGGACACGAAGACGGTATACTCTGCGATCTTTGGAGATATTTAAATCTAAAAACATAAATATATGTGTTTACCTTCCTCGTACTGTACACACATATATAAACATATAGATCGTGAAAGTAGAAAATAATTTTAATTAATATAAGGAATATAATAATATAATGTAAAATTCAATTTATAAAATATATAAGTATTATTACATCACTGATATAAAATGAAAAAAATATATTTTTTTCCGAGATTTCCGGGGGGTGAAAATTATGTCATCATTATTAATACTGTCACAGACTATTCCAGTCAAATTTAAAAAAAGTAAGTTTTTATGGTAAATTTCAAATGGACTCAATTTTTCCGAAGTTTCTCATATTTCCCGGCCAGGGAAAACTATGTAGTTATTCATATTTCGACGAGCTATCCTAGATTTAACAAAAGAAGCTTCTAGCTGCAATGGAAGCTGAGATAATGTAAATTTTTCCTACATGTTTCAGTTTGAGTTATCCCTCCACTTTCCTATATTAATCTTTCGAAAGTTCCTTCGCTTCAAAGAGCTGTAAGTTTCGAAAAATTAAATGAATTTTATAGCTATAAGTTTCAATATGAGGTTTAGATTTTCAATCAAAGTTTGTGCAAATTTTACTTTTTAATGTTTATAAACAATTGAGATTGATTTTTTAAAAATAGTCCCTAACTTCGTTCCTATTGGTCATAGAAGGTTTTTTTAAATGTGAGTTTTTTTACCAACTATCCAATGGTTTTACGTAAAAGTCTGTAGCTTGAAAAATGTAGAAATTACAATTGTTTATAAGTAAAATACGTACCACTTTTTCAAACGTTTATTTTGTAAATAATTTCGATGAAAATGCAATATGCATTTAACTTCTGAGATAATTTGTCTTCAAGAAACCTAAGAAATTTGCTAAATGTGTCTAGCATCATTAATAGAGCAAGTTCAATAGTTTAAATATTTAGCCTCAGGGATAAATAAATTAAATAACTTTTAAACTATATGACCGATCGGGGGAAAATTTCGCACAAATTTTTTGCGAAAAAACTGCTTTTTTGCAAATATCTCTGTAAATTATTTATCAATTTTAATTTAAAAAAAGATATTCTTGATATAAAAAATGATATATTGTTTATGTAAAATATAAGGGAAAAAACTTATAGACAAAAAATCAAATTGTGACCATAAATTATTGTTTAAAAAAAACGCAAGGTAAAAATACGAGTACTTTTTCATATATTCGTCATCTAGTAACCCCCACCTATATCTCAAAAGTTTCAGATATCTGCGAAAAATTTTGCTGCGAAATCGATGATTTTTGCATAACCAGACTGGGTTAAAAATACGTTTATTTGTGTGGCGAAATATGTATGATATTATATTTATTCAACATTGATTCACTGTGATGTATGCTCGTGTGGTAAATATTGAAAAATGTGTAAAACTTCCCTTTGCACTTCTGCGAAGGTAATTAATAATTTTAATTACTATTTTGTTTCAGGGCGTAGTAGAATTCCTGTCCGTTTCTGGATAGGAGTGATGGTTTTCTGTACGACGTATATAAATTATGCAACGAGAGTTAATATGGCGATAGCAATTATCTCTATGACAAAAGGTAAATCAAAGAAGACGCCGGAATGTCTGCTAGACGATATTACCACTTCGTCGGGTACACCAAAGGGTTTACCAGATGTAAGTATAATAGAATAATGTTAAAACCTAATGTACAAATAAAAAAATAATATGTAACAATAAAACACTGAAAACTTTGTTTTCAAAACATTCACAAAATTTATTATAAAATCTTATCACTACACCTGTTTCGGCTGATTGCCTTTCTCAAGTGATCTATTTTTGGCATGCGTTTACACTGTATAGTCTTTAATGAAATAGGTTGAAGAGGGAAGAACTGATTGTCCCAAGTTGGTCATTCAGAATTATGTCTGTGTTGTTAATTTGTTAATTTCCATAGATTCTAACAAAGATAGCTTAATACCTTTATTTTGAATGTGAAGAATTTTAAATTCGTCATTAAAAGAATGATTATGATCTAGCAGGTGAAGTGCGTATGTAGAATCTGTTTTTCTATTATTGAAAGCCCTTTTATGTTGTGCTATTCGTTTATTAAAATTTCTACCAGTTTGACCGATGTAAGTTTTTGGATAGGGGACACATTTAAGTTTGTATACACCACTGTGTAAGTGCTTTTTATTTTGGCTCTTGTTGTTTTTAATATATCTGCCCAAGTTGTTATTTGTTCTGAAAGCTGTAGTTCTTTTTTATGTGTTTGGGTATTTTTGTTGATATTTTGCCTGTATATGTAATTGAGCAGAAGGTACTGGGTTTTTTCTCTGGTGGTGGAAATACTAATTTCAGGGCTTTCTTGTGTAGTGTTTGATTTAAAATTTTATTAATTGTTTGTTCGTTGTATCCATTGTTTACTGCTATTTGCTTAATGATATTTAATTATGTCTCAAAGTTGTATTCTGACATCGGAATTTCTGTTAATCTATGTAACATACTATGGATAGGCTGCTAGTTTATGTTGTGTGGGATATGATGATAAATTGTGTATAGTCGTGTAAGTATGGGTAGGTTTATGAAATATGAAGAAGTCATGTTTGTTTTTAAGTCTGATAATTTTTAAATCTAAAAAATTTATGGATTAATTTTGTTCTGTTTCTATTGTAAATTCAATATGACTGTGAAGTGAATTAATATACAATAAAAATTGATAGAGTTGCCTGTTAGTTCCTATGAAACATACCAGTACGTCGTCTACGTATCTCCACCAATATAAAAACTGTTTGAATGTGTAAACGCAATGCCAAAAATAGATCGCTTGAGAAAGGCAACCAGCCGAAATAGGTGTAGTGATAAAGTTTTATAATAAATTTTGTGGAAGTTTTGAAAACAAAGTTTTCGGTGTTTTATTGTTACATATGAATGAATGAATTAATGAACGAATTTCCATCAAGTAACGGTCGAATCCATCAATTAAACAAATAATTACTATATTAGAAGCTTTATCATTATCTTATTCCATGCCTTGACAAAAATATTCCCGATTTTTTTATCTTGAAAAATGAAAACAAGAGTTAATAAAATTTAAAAAAAAAACAACACAAGATATGTAAAAAGTGCTTGGTTATTTTTAAACTACTCATTTCTCATTACGAAAGAAGAAAAATATATTCTCACACTTAAATGTCTAGTTAAAATGTCTATTGGTTAAACATATTAAAAATTTAGAACAAAAATTACAAAGTGCAGAAATTAACGGATTCAAGAAACAATTTCGTTCTTAAATTATGAGCAAGAGGTCCGCTTTTTCGTTCCCTTCAATATGTCCCGCCACCCAAAGTAAAAATACTTTAAAATGCGTTAGGCTTTCACGGCCATCTTCTAACTTGTTAAACTGTTTGTTCGGGCTCTTAGGCCGTTGTCTTCTGAGATTAGTTCTCGACGTTTCGCCAACACTAGGGATTGGCATCTTCTGGAGATGTTACTGCTTCGCTTGTAAGCTGAAACTGACGCTGCGTTGTATAAAATAAAAATATTTATTTTATTGCCCTAATAATATATACATTTCACACTTAAAGCTAACTTAAGATATCATAGTCTTCTTTTTTGACGTCCAGCTATTGCACCGCCTGATGTTGATTTTTCTTCCTCTCGGTTCCTGATTTTCTGTCGTTGACTTCATGGCTTCTTCTTCTGTAGGTACTAATTTGTGGCATTTTACCTACTTTCCTGCTTGGTTGTCTTCAGCAACGACTCGACTAGACTCTGACCAGATGGTCGATCAGTCTGTGGGTTTGTCTAAAGATCCTCTGAACCCGATTTTTCTCGAGGATGTCCCTGGTCTTTCGGAGTCTCCTTGTGGCTTGGTGGAAGAAGTATCTGCTCCTTTTCTCAGCCACCTCCCTCAGAGATGTATACTGGAGCATTTCTTTGATGGTTGCATTGGATATTCTTTCTTCCCATGTTGATACGTCGATGTTCCTGTAGCATGATGTTTCTGTGGCTTCAAATCTTCTCCAGTTGTACTCCGCTATAGAACTCCAAACTGGGACAGCATAAAGTATCACTAGGCCTGATATAATTGGATCTTCTTGGCCTCCGTTAATGGACTGGTCCTGAAAACATAAGGAAATATTAGTCTTTTAGCAGCATTAGCTTTTACCTTGGTTTTTTGTGTATGTAACTGGAAGTTTAGTCTTCTGTCGAGGTGGACTGTTTCCTCCTACTGTAATTTGTTGCACTGGTGGGTTGTTTTCTTGTGTGAGCATGATGAATTGTGTCTTCTCTTTGATTTTGATTTTCCATTTATCGGTATATTCCGTGATTTTTCCTAGGTGGTTTTCTATGTTTCTGGCGATTCTTCTGTCATCCTTACCTGTTGCATACACTGCCGTATCATCTGCGTAGAGGGCTGTAGATGTTCTTGGGTCTGTTAGTAGATCTGAAAGAAATATGTTATACAAAATGGTCGATAGAATACTGTCCTGTGGCATCCCTTCTTGGATTTCTTGGATCATCGACATCTTGTGGTCCGCTGAAACTTGAAAGGTTCTATTAGTTAAATACATGTCACATATGTTAACTAAATAATGAGATAGTCCAGCTCTGTCCATCTTGAAGATTAGTGCCTTCTTCCAAACCGTGTCGTATGCTTTTTCTATGTCCAGTATGGCCACCCTGTTCTTTGTCTTCTGTTAAACCTTATCTTCATGTCGCTGATGACTCTTGCTAGTTAAAGTTCACAATTTATTTCTTTTCTGAGTCCGAATTGTTCCTCTTGGATGATTCTTCTTCTTTCTGCGTGTTTCATTAGTCTTTTGTAGATGATTTTTTTTAGGATTTTCCAATTGTTTCTAGGAGGGATATCGGCCTGTAGCTTTACGGTCTTCTTCCATCTTATCTAGGTTCTAGTAGAAGAATTATCTTCGCGTGTTTCCAGTTGCTTGGAAAGTGTCCTTTTTCCAAGCAGTACTTGAAGATATAGTACCGTTGTACTATTATCTTCTTTAGTAGTTCCTTGAAGGTGATGTTGTGTACTCCTTCTGGTACTGCTATTCTGCTTCCTTTTAGTTTCCTCATGATTTTGGCGACCTCTGTTGGGTTTGCGTAGTCTTCTTCTTCTGCTAAAGACTCATTTCTTCTTTTGATCCCTGCGTATTCGTTGTTGACTTCTTCTCTTTTTCTTTCCGCGTTGTACTACGGAGGCCATATTTATATTTTCTACTCGCCTCCCCACCAGTGGTTTCGGCGTGAAGGGGCGTGTCGTCGTTCGTATATAGCTCTTCTTTTTTCGTGTTTTGCCGGAAGGGTGTTTGTGGATTTTAATATTGTTTTTTTTATTAATTAAATCGCATCAGCCAAATTGGCTATTAGCGAAACAATGATAGCGAACAATAATTTGTATTATATTGTATATATATTGTATTATATATAATAACTAACAATAATGTTAGTTTAGATAGCATTTAAAACATTAATTGAGGTTAAGAAACTTTTTATATTTGAAATATTGTACTGTAGACCTAAAATATCGGTAAGTTTGTTTGGTATATTGTACAACATGCGCTTTGGCGTTAATGCTTGATATTTCTCTAATATATGTTTGGTTGTAAGTTTTTCATCACAGTTATATTATTATATTATTCTGGATACCATATGTCACATCTTGGTTCTTATTTGTTGGAAACACGTAGCTATTAGTTAATCGCGTATGACCCAGTCGAAGTTGCGTTAATATTACCTGGTCTCTCCGACTTGTTGGTAATGTGGGCCAGAGTTTTATCGATTTTTTAACATCGCGTAGCTTGGCCGATGACACTTTCCACTTTTCTTCCCGCATATATCGCACTTTAAATTTAACTGCCGCTTTCACGACCGCAACTAAATGTTTTAGTACACTCCGCACTATCACTACTTGCAGCTCCTTTTGCAGAATTGTCTGCCTCTTCATTTCCTGGTATTCCAATATGGGATGGTATCCAGAATAATATATTTTTTCCATTCGGTTGAGCGGTATGGATTTATTCTTTTATCTTGATAACTAAAGGATTAGTTGGGTATACATATTGGATTGACTGTACGGAACTTAGAGAGTCTGTGATGATAATATAATTGGTATTATTGGATGCGTTGACAGCAAGGGTTTCCTGATATAGAGCATATAGTTCAGCAGAGTAAATGGAGTACTCTTAAGGGAGTTTGTATTTATTTGTCGTTGTTGGGGTTATGATTGCATCACCAATACCTTCATTTGATTTAGATGCGTCTTTGTATATATGTATATAATCCTTGTAGTTGTGAAACATATCGTTGAAGGCGGATTTGATTAACTGTGGTTTTGTTGATTGTTTGTCGAAAGAATTGAGGCGGGTTAGGCACTAAAGGTTTTTTATTTGCTATGGAGGAATTGAGGACGATTGGGAGGAAAAGCATTCTGCGTAGTTTTCTAATAGTTTCTAATCTTTGCGTAGAAAGGTTTGGCAGTTCTTGGCTTATTTATGAAAAGATTTGGGATTTTTCTGTAAAACAATTGTAAATAGTAGGGTTTTTTTTGGTTAGACCTGATTTTTGCGGCGTATGTTACACTTAAATAAAGCTCCAGATATTATACGTAAAGATAGGTTGTGAAGACTGTCAAATTTTTTTTAGTAGTGTCTTAGTGGCTGTATAACATTAAGTGTTTGGCGATCCGCACCCCATTCTTTATTGGCCAGAGTTTTTAGAAGATTTAGTCGCTTGTGACAAGATAAGATCAAAGAGTTTCTTCGAATGTCATGCCCAAAAATTTTATTGACGTTACACGTTTTAAGTTCTCATCACATAGTCTTAGGTTGGGGGTGTTTGTGACATTTTTCTTAGAAAACAGGATGAAACGAGTTTTTTCAGTAGAAAAACAGAAACCTGTTTTTTGTGACCAGAGTTCTAAGTGTTCTAAGTATAAAGTTCTGTGTGTGGCAAAATATATTTTGTATATTTTTACCTTTGCAAAAAACTCATCAAACTCATCAAACATCATCGATGTAGACGCGTGCCTTTATAGGCGATTTTGGTTTTTGAGAATATCATTGATTGCCACTATAAATGCAATTTTCTGGATACATTATATCTGATGTGTTGTTTATCCTAACTCTGAAAGCTCCATTTTGAAGGAAGTTTTTAATAAAGAAGAAACAGTGACCTTGGATGTTCCAACTATGTAATTTTTTTTATTATATAATCGTGCCAGGCTGTATCGAAAGCTCTTGATATGTCAAAGAAAACGGCTAGACATTTATTCCTTAGCGCGATTGCTTCAGAAATGTCACTTTCCAAATCTATGATATTTTATATAGTTGACCTTTGCTCTCTAAAACCATTTTGTTTTTTAATAATTAAATCTTGTCTCTCCAGGTGTCATCTAAGTCTATTATTGATAATTTTTTCTAGTAACTTATACATGGCGCATGTTAAAGATATCGGTCGGTATGACTAGGGACTTGTTTTAATACTATGATTTTTGTATAGATATAACTGTGGATTCATCCCATTTTTCAGGAAATTTGTATAGTCTAATAATTGAGAAATGGGTAAATTTCACGGTACATCTGTGTTAGGTATAATGCTAATTTTCTTCTTGCTGTTTGTAATTAATGAAAGATTTTTTATAATTAATATTACCTACTGGATCGGTTTTTATATGTGTTAGCAAGGATTTTGGCAATCTCAGTATTACTAGTAACTGTCTTTCCATTTATTTCGAGGCTTTTGATATTATGATTACTATTTAATCCGAATATTATTCGGACTTTGTTTCATACTTCAGTCATGGGAGTGTTTGCATTTAACGTTAATACATATTAAGTCCATGGCTGGCGTTTGGCATTTCTAATTGTCTTTTTGGCTATAGCACGTTGTTTTCTGTATTCAATTTTATTCTCAACAGTTTTGTAGCGCTTGTATTGGTTAAAAGTTCTTTTGCTAGATTCAACTTCCCTTTTGCATTCGTGATTCCACCATGGGACAGGGTTGCGTTGTTTTATGTATGTAGTTTTTCCTATTGCTTTTTCTACCTAGTGTTGTTGTGTTTTATATAAATCAATGCCTTGATAGGTCCCTAGTCGAGAAGAGTGTGTCCCTGTTTTCCTAATATCGATGTAATCCTTTATTTCTCCTTGTGGTGCCGAGAATCGAACTCGTGCGCACTGGCTTAGAAGGCCAATATTTTGGCCACTGTGCTATAGCCGCCGGGTGTATTGAGTAAATACCTTGTTAAGAAGTCAACTTCGCAGTACCGCAGACCGCAGTACCTCGAGCAACCAGTCTGTATTTATATACATCGTTTACAAATATTATTGACGTATGAGAATTACAACACAATTAACATTTATTTTGTTCTTAGTATGGACCAAGATACGATTGGGATGAGCACATTCAAGGAATAATACTTGGTAGCTACTTTTGGGGCTACACCATATTTTCACTACCAGCGGGAGCTATTTCTGAGTTATGGGGGCCAGCAAGAGTTATATTTTGGACCACAATAGTATCGCTGATTTTAAATTCTGTCTGTGTTCCAGCAGCTATGGGTCATTATGGATTGCTGGTTGCTTGTAGATTTCTCATTGGATCAGCAGGTGTAAGTACAACTTCCAAACATTACATTAAAATCAATTTCATATTATTTGGACCAGTCTTTTATTTTAGATTCTCTCCAACTTTATTGTTCAAATTATTTTAATTTAATCTCAAAATAAACAAACATTAAATCAATCAGCAAATATTTTAGATTAACAGATTTTATTTATAATAATAAATACATCAAACTACTTTTCACAAATGATCGTATTTCGATGGAGATATTATCAGCATCCAAAAGCATCCATTAAAATTTTAACATGTTAACTGCCATGAGAAGCAACTATTGATTCTCGCGTATCTAAAAATTTTAAAAGACACAAGAAACCGTCTAGTTTTAAATGTAGCGCACATATCAATTAATTGTACCATACTACACTTAGCAATTAATATTAGCAGGTAAAATGCAAACAAGCTTAAGTCACAAATAAGTAATTTTTCAGAGAGGACTAAAAACTTGTAGCTTTGCTCTGAAAAAGGATAATAAGTTCTAATCAATGTTATGCAATAGTATTGGTTCCAAATATGAGATTAAAACATTGTTTAAAATAGTTTAAAAAATTTATTTTGTTTTGGCCGTAAGACCTTTTGCACGAATTCAGTGGAAATAAGTCGTTTTGCATGTAAAATGTTGTGGACATAAGATGATTTGATTGTAAATAAAGTAAAAAAGCAAAGCAATAAAATAAAGGAACAATGGTTTTCTTAATGAACTTCTATTTTTATAAAAAAATAACATAGACCGTACCTAAGTGACAAAAATTGTCATGAAATGCAACAAAGAAACAGTTTTTTTAAATACGACGAAAGTCGGAAGTCACAGCGCTCATCGCCGAGACAGTCGCTCATTACTTTCTGCTCCTCACTAGCACCTGCTGTAGCGGGTTTTTCAAAAGTTTGTGAACACCTTTGTCTTTTCTTTGGTTAATACATGAGGAAATGGGAGTTCTTCCAGTTAAAGATTATTTTTCCCTTTCTTTCTCAAAGATATAAACGCCTCTTTTTCTTCATACTTGTAGTTTTTCAATCCTTTTACCAACACAATATTTTTGTTACTTATACTTTTCGCTTTTTTCGGAGGTGTTCAATTTCTAATTGTGTCCGGTAGCATATTTCAATTTTCTTCAGTTCACTAATTGATTGGATGTCCTTATAGTATTCACTTAGCTTCTTAGTATCAAAAAGTGGCCAATCTTCTCCTAGTGCTCCTACCTTGCCTATACCACTATAGATGCCATGGTATTCCTATTATATTAAAATTATGGATTTTTTTCGCAACTGATTTTTTGCTCTTCTAAAAACACGGTCGGCGGGTAAAAAACTATCTCCGCGTACAGCGAAATACAATAAAATCCTTTGGATTGCTATTTTGTGTTTCCAAAAAATGAATAGGTGTTCTCAGAACAATATTATTTTTATTTTAAGAAACACAACCATCGCTAAACAACCTTAGTACAGAACAGCCCTAAAAATTAGCTTCTTTCTTAGGAAAAGACAGCTTTCCACACTGTCTTTTCCTGTCTGCTTCTCTGTCCAAGTGTAGAACATGTGGTTTTGAGGGTGTAGAGCAGTAATAAAATAGGTATAAAATCAAAGTTGTCTCACATAATAAGCTTCTTGAATTGGACTTTCCGGTTGTGGATGAATTTGTTGAAGATTAAAGTAAAGGTTAGGGGGAAGATCAAAGGCCTATGCTTTTCATGAATGAATCCGTTTTTCAGCCATTAGCTGCGCCTTTCACCAGACTGTACTAGTACACTTTTAATTTATTCTTTGAAAAGGCAGCACGTACTGTAAGTATCGGAGGCAGGTTACTTAAAACCTATGTTAATATTTTACTTAGTTTACTAATACTTAACTCACTACTCAGATTTAATCTTAGGTCCATATTTATAAACGATGCTCAAGTATCGATCGATACTTGAGGCCTTGAATCAAATTTGTGTTCTATATGTTCTATAAACCGTTCTCAAGCACGAAGTCGAGCTTGAGAACGCAAAAATGACAGCTCGTTTGTTTATGTTTATGAATATTTCCAATACAATATTTTTTTTGTTTTTTGAGATTAATATTGTTGTTCAACATCCAGGATCAAGTATTGGCAGCTTATTATTTGATCAAAATTGATTAAAACTTAGAATGGAAAGGGGATAAATTCCAGAATTATTATGAATAGTGAATATGTATGCAGTGCAGGCACTATCTACATACTCCAGTATTACAGCCAGGTATTTATTGATAATTAGCTAAATAAAAAAATATGTTATTTGATAGATACATCTTTTTAGGCAATGATCAACAAAATAGATATAATAGTGCACATGTAAGAAATGTTGAAAAATGGATATTTGGAACCTGGAAAATATGGTTTCCCTGTCTGCAATGAGGCCTACAAACCAAATTAAATACATATCTTGCATAATAATGATGTGGAACGAGGTTTAAATTTTAGGAGACCTTACCTTATTTCTCATAATGTCAGAATGATTATCATTAGCTTTATTACACTTTTTGCTGTTTTTTTTCCAATTTTTTATTTTTATAATTTCAGTATTTTATTTTATATATTTCTTATATCTAATCTTGGTTCAATTCAAAGTTGTTTATTTTGAGAATTAAATACCTATATTATATTAAGTATGTTTTTGTCTTATTTATAAACATATATTTGTTTGTTTTAATTTTAAAATAAATGAGGGTTTTTCCCTCATTATGCTCAGACAACTTAAGCAAGTATGTCTTTACTGAGTACAAGGAGTTTCCCTCCTTTTAATTAAGTGTTGATTCCTGTCATAAAACCTTTCCTTACCAAATAAAAATTAATACAAATTTAGAATATTATTATTCTTTATTTAAAAAATTCTACAGTTATAATTAAATACAATATTATAAAATAGATTATTTTATTTTATAGCTTCATCAGGAGAAAACTGTACAACAATTAGAACATTACAAAAATATGATGTAATTATATAGATATACGAAGTAGCAGTAATTTATTATAATTTTCAGTAAACAACATAAAAATATGATGATTTATGTATTGCAATCAATACTTAAAAAAACTGAAAAAGAAACATACATAATCTAAAAACAAAAGACTATACAACAAATAAAAAGGTAAAACCATATCTCACCAGCAGAAATTAAAATATTAACAACCTTAAATCTACATTAAATACTATATAGAAATAAAATAAACAGGAAGGAGAATAGAGAGAAAATAAACATGATTTTACAACACAAAGTATATTTTTTTCGTCTTTATAGAGGGGGGGGGTCTGAAATCTTAAAAAGACATCTCAGTCCAGGACGCCGCCTGACTGACCTTAGTGCAGGATTCATTCTTCGTAGTCCCGGCGATAGTTCCCGAGGTACTTTAAAACGTCCTCTCGTCGCTGATTCTACGTCAAATGCCTACCTGCTAAAACATACCCTCCTCTGACATTCAGTGCTCCGAAAGTGAAAAGGCCACTGAAAGACTGAGTTAATACTTCCCAAACACTATCTTCAGTTGGGAATAAGCCACAATGTTTTATATGTTATACTTACTAATTTTTTAATCTCTATGACCAAATATTGTTACCAAAAATACAAAATTATGATTTATTTTCAGAAAATAAATCACAATTTTGTATCTATGATACCAGCCTCTGGTCATATAGATTGAAAAACATCAGTAAATAAACATATTGTGGCGTATTCCTACATTTTCCCTAAAACTGCAGAGTACCCAACAAAGGAAAAAGATCTTCTAGTGCCTGAAAATAAACAATTAATTATAGACAAATTCCAGTGACAAGTCAAACATGATAAAATCTATAATCACCCTTTTTATAGTCTATTAACTTCAATGAAGCTAATTCAGCTTCATCAGTAGCTCTCTGCCTCTCCTTCTCAGCTGCTTCTCTTAAGGCCTTTGTCCTCAGCATATCTTCTTCTAAAATCTTCATTTTCATCCTATGAATCTCGTCTTGCTGCCTGATGGTATAATCAGGCAGCAAGATGTTGTTGACCTCAGGCTGGCAATTATAATTTGTTGTTCTGAACTCCCAAGCCATATTTTTCTCCATTGCCGAAGCACCGTTTGTCCTTTTGTTCTCTACCACACCGTTTTCTGTTACCAGCTGGATTAGAAGAACTTTTTCCTTTGTTGAGTAAGGTGCATATTTACTGCTATTTCCACTCATCTAAAATTTACATACTTAACTAATTTATTTACCGTATGGCTTACACATGCAATATAATTATAATGATTGTAACGCAAACACATAAATATATCCAAAAACAAATATACATCTAAGCATATATTTTGAACATCTAAAATTATGCCTCAGACACAGTAACAAAATGGAAATTAATTCTGTAGAATAAATATTTTTTATAATGTATTACATACCTTAAAATAGTTAATATCCAATATTAATTTCAAACACAAAATATTAATATCAAACACAAAATTTCAGTAAGTAGCATAAACTAAATTTGGCGCTAAAAGTTTAGTCACAATTATGAGAAAATAGACAGAATCTTCTTTTTTTCGATGTTTATTCGTAATTTACTTTTCTGTACTAATTTTTCTTGCTTGAGATCAACCTTGTACAAGAATACCCGAAGTATCGTTTATAGAACACAACAAATACTTGAGCATGACTTTGACGTAAGTTCGACTTATCGGAGGAGCACGAGCTTGAGTACCAACCAATGACGTATAATATATAGACTCGGTGAACGCTTTAAAAAGTGTCCAAAACATGAATACCTTTGTTATTGTTTATTGTTTTGATACGAAGATACACGAAGTTCATGATTTCTTACGAAGCATCACGAAGTTGATCTTGTGTTTGAAAACATCATGGACGTATGAAAGCATTTTCTCCATTTTGTGTGACAAGCAAATTTTATTTTAAATTGTTGAGAGTTATTTACTTACTATTTTAGTAAAATGCCATACTATTTTATCAAAATAATTATTTCTCTTATAGATGGGACAAAAAGAAATCATAAATATTTAATTTTAATTAAAAAAATAATTATTGTCATTAAAATATAAATGAACACGCCGCTGTTCTAATAAACATACCTTCAACCTTAAGCCGAGATCTTTCGGACACTCGATTCTATAGCGAGAATAGGGGACTGCGTAGTCTATATTATTATACGTCATTGGTACCAACTATAAATACGGGCATTAGACACCTCTTCTTTTCCCTTCAACAGCAAACTCAAAATGCACTTATTTGGCTACATTTTTATTGTAGTTCCTTCAATACCAATAACAGTGCGAAAAAGCTTTAAATACATAAAAGTTTCAGCACCACAGACAGTTGGAAAAAAGTATTGTATTAAGTACTTTCGCTCAAGTCCAGGTTTTTTATTTTTGTTTTTGTTTACCGACCTAGGCCTATGTCTTTTGATGTATGTTGTATGAATCAGATTGGCAAATATATTGTCTTGTATTTTCGCATCTGGAAGTTTATAAAACTCTTCTTTGAAAGCGCTGATGTAACCAGGCTTTATTTTTACGCACGTGAGACGTTTATTGTTGTACTTTAACAATACAAAAACTAGGGCTCTTTTAGGAGCTACATACTTGGTAGTTTGTTCACTTTCCCTTTTTCCTCCTGAAAATCTTCTCGTTCTAGTCCCATCATTTCCTTCACAAACACTTACACTTCCATCTGCCCCATCCATTATTCTTTAAATAATAAAGTAATTACTAATTGTTTTGAAATACTTTGCCCATATTATACGTCATTGCCAATAAACTATCACATAACCTCAAACTTGTTAGTCTCACTGGGTCAGCTGAGTGGCAGTTGCAGAGCTCCTATTGGTTGGTTGGAAATAAGCTGGTTAACATGGACCGGTATAGTGGAAATAAGTTGTATTGCATGTAAAGGTGGTTTTTAACATGCTTTTACCATGGGTAATAATTTTTTTAACTCAACTTTGATTTTTGTGTGACTTAAGCCGGTTTGCATGTTGCCTCCTCATATATAATATATTAATCAATGTTTGATTCTCATAGTCTGAAAACTATATTACTGATAAAACTTAACATTTGAGTTAACTATTTTTTTAACAAAAACTAAAATTTCATTACATTTTTATTTTAATAAGAAATTATCAAAAATATAAAGAAGCTGCACAATTTAAAAAAAACTTGATTAGATTGAGAGCTAGATTACCAGAAAAAGTTCATCAGGTGTTAGCGGAGAGCTTATGTGCTCCTTGGACCCCAGTTATCATTTATAATACTACGGATCAACAAATTATTTTTCGCATTCGACGGCAAATGCATTTATTCTGCTGGTAAGTATCGCCCCTGTTAAGCATCTACCAGAGAACTACGAACGCAGTGTTCGTAGTTCTCTGCATCTACTATGCGTAGAAAATTGCGCCGTGGCATGCTTCTCGATTGAAACAGAGAACTACGAATGTGTTCGTAGTTCTCTGATTGAAATGAGTTAGTCAGACTTTTGTTGTGTGTAAGTAAATACGTAATAGCAGACGCTAAAAAATCATCAATAATAAAAGTAAGTACATAATATTTAGCATGTTTCGGTGTATGATCAGTGCATTTTAGTGCTAAAAGAATTGTGATATATTGATGATAGGTACAATAGTTCGTTGGCCCTAAACACAAGGTATCATTGATGAAACCTTGGGCCCTAAACAATAGTGTATTTAAAATTTTTGGTCGCAGTCAGCGGCCTTTAAAAGGCCGCTGACTGCGACTGAACTTCAGGAAATTGCAGATAATGTGAATTTAGATGACTCTGATTTGGATCTTTTTCTTTTTCCTGACAGTGATGATGATGGGGATGAATGGGATGAACCTAGAAATCTGGATGAAAATGAAATAATTATTGAAAGTGAGGAAGAAAGGAGTGACGATCACGCTGAAATCAGTGACATATCAGATGACGATTCGGATGATGACATGCTCTTGGCAACCCGGCTTTTAAAGGAGGCAAATTCTATTACTAAAAAAGACAGGAAAGAATAAAAGAAAACACCACAATTTTACACCACAATTTGCCCATTATCGACCCTCTGTGCAATATCCCTTGAATCCCGTAAATATTCCAAGACCTATTGACTACTTCAATAAATATATCGACAACAATTTTTTTGAATATATGGCGTTGTACACAAATATGAAGGAAGTAAAAAAAACTAAAAAATCTTTGGAGACTTCTGCAGAAGAATTAAAAACGTTTATTGCATGCTGCTTGCATATTGGTATTTATAATTTACCACGAATCCGAATGTTTTGGCAAATGGATACCAGGTTACCAATTAGTTTCAGACATGTCAAGAAATCGTTTTTTTGCCATTCCACCACGACTCAAAATTGTTGACGATGATTCTGTAACCAAGGAGACTAAAGAAAATGATAGATTCTGAAAATGGATTCAAAGGGGTTGTCTGAATAATAAAAGAACTGAAAAAGTGTCAATCAATGAGCAAATGATTCCCTTTCATGGAAAAGGATTAATGAGACAGTTTGTGTGAGGAAAATCTAACCCTGTAGGATTGAAGAATTTTGTCATGACGACTACGGGGGGATTTCACTTGATTTTCACATGAAAGTAAAGGCATTAATCCAGCTTGGTACTTACACTAGAACGGCTGGATATCGGGGGAAGGGTTGTTTTAAAACTTACAGATACCCTGCCAATAGGAATATCTATTTTTGTTGACAAATATTTTACGTCAAAAATATTGATTGGTGCATTACATTCACAGAAGCTTTATGTAACAGGAACACTAATGAAAAATAGAATACCAAAAACGGATGTGACATTTAAGACAGATGAAGATCTAAGAAAATCAGGAAGGGGCTCCCATGATATTCTCGTTAACAATAACAATAAAATAGTTATTACAAAATGGTTTGATTCCAAACCAATATATACGGCTTCATCAGAATTTGGGGCTGAACCCTTGGAATTGAGTAGAATGGTCAGTAAAAGATAAAAAATAAATAGAAATAAATCGTCTAGCAGTGATTAAGCACTACAATGAAAGCATGGGTGGAGTAGATTTACTGGAGGATTATGTCCTCCTTATCCCTATGTAGGATTATCCCTTATGTAGGATTATATATAAATGTACCCTATAAGCAGTAGAACAAATAAATGGACAATACGATGTATTTACGCCTTTATTGATTTTTTTGCTGCAGATAGTTGGCTACAATACAAAAAAGATTTTTATCTGCAGAAGCTCCCAAAAAACATATTCAAGATTACCTGTCATTTAAGTTTTCGCTTGCTAGGTCGCTTTTGTACTTCAAGAACAGAAGTCCCATATCCGAAGAAAGTGACGAAAAAAATGAAAATGTAACCAGAAAAAGAAGAAAAACTGCACCAATCCCTGATAAACGCATACGCCCAAAGGAATCTAAACACCTCCCAGAATTCGTTAATGAAAGCAAAAAATCAAGATCAAAATGCAGGTATTATGGATGCCACAACCTGACGTTTGTCAAATGTACCCGGTGCAAGGTTTATTTATGTTGTAGTGTCAATAGAAATTGTTTTCTAAATTTGATTGAATCACAAAATTCACTAAATTTCGTCAATAAAAATTATAAGTGAATATTAATTTTTTTATTGTCAGTCCAGACCCAAAGTATCTCTAGGGATACTACAATTTTTGAGAACACAAAGGATTTTTTCATTTTTTGTTTTTTGTGGTTAGTAATCTCAAATTGTAACATTCTTTTGATTGGCAACAAAAAAATCACTGCAATTCATGCCTGGGCCTGAGGAGGATAGCAGGTCTGTCGAAATTCCGAGGACTTGTATAATAGTTCATGGAAGCTATTCAATTGGCAAACTGGCTGCAGTTTAATCAATGTTTAATAGATGAACCCAAACAAGAAAAAAACTTTAAAAAAGTAGAATTCTGAGTTTCTTCATTAATTTGTAGATGAAGAATAAAAACTATTTCAGCAACAGTGTCTTATCTTCTATAATGTGTCAATACTTTTAATATTTACTTGAATATCACCATTGTTTAAATGATATAACACTCTATCGGATATTCTATCTAAGCATATTTCAAAACATTTGGAAAATTTCATAGTGATGTTGATACGACTGTAGACAATTTTTAAATGACGTACGAAACGTATATCAATCATATATGTACAAGAAATCAAGTTGGAATACTTTTTATAGCCGATATAATATATATATAATATATATATATATATATATATATATATATATATATATATTATATATATATATATATTTCAACATTATTTCTCTTTTTAGGTCACTTCTCACTTGCATCAATCGTTCTTAGGATTATTCAGCTTATTTCATTTGAGCCAATAAACCATATTTATATATATATATATATATATATATATAATATATATATATATATATATATATATATATTATATTTATAGAAAATTCTTGCTTATTAATGTAAATTAATTAAAAATTAACAAAATACACTTTCATTGTTTCCTTTTTTAATTTCAGGGATTGGTGTATCCAGCTCTGCAGGTATTAATAGCAAAATGGTCCCCACCAGCCGAAAAGGGTCGGTTCGTGGCCGCTTTGATGGGCAATACCTTAGCGACATGTGTAACGTGGCCTTTAGTCGGTGTGGTTATTACCAACTTGGGTTGGGGCTGGGGATTCCATATTATCACAATACAACTAGTTGCATTTTGTATAATTTTCTACATTGTCTGTGCCGATAGTCCCGATGAACACACATGGATTTCCGAACGGGAGGTTGCTTTTATAAAAGAAGCTCAGGGGGCATCAGTTACTAAGAAAAAGGTAATATATCAATAATAATAAAGTAAAGCGTCTCTTAGTAGTAGTAAAATAGTAATTAACTTATCCTCCCTCTCAAATAGGTCGGAAACAATAATAAAAAAATTAAATATTTAAAAATTACTAAAAACATCGATTTTTTTCTACTTATTACAATACATACAAAAAAGAGGGGGAAACAAGCCTTTTATTATTTAACGTTTTTCAACCACATAGGTTTCAACCACAACCACATAAGACCTTCATAATTCGTCTATCAAATTTGATTAAAATTTATTTGTGTTTTAATTTAATTTGTTTAAAATTTTGCACAATAAAAACTAGACCATATAGAAGTTTGCCAATTTTTTTACTTATAAAAACACACTTAATCTATCTAATGTACGTTATTGAATTGAAATCGGAGTATTTGGACAGCCTCAGGAATGTTTTAAAATTATAAAAAAATTTTGGTCCTATAAACAAATATAATTCGGTAACTTCTAGGTTCAATTAAATTCTGAAAATGGCACAAATAAAGTTTCTTATAAAAGACAAAAAAAATGAATTACGACATGTGGTTCGTGAAATACAACCGGTCTAAGTTTGCGACGATGATGATAATTTTTAAATCATTAACTTTTTATTTTGGAGCTCTTTCATGATGAAGATATTTATATCTTCAAAATATTTATAACGTATATTATAATAATAAAAACAATCGGTATTTCGCTTGAAAAATACCAAAAAAATTAGGTTGAAGAAAATTGTATTTCAAATTTCAAAATCGGTATATCTAAAAAATGTATTTACTCTGCTTCCAATAAAGTAATTTTTTAATTTCTAGTAGAGCCATCTATAAAATTCATTACCAAATACCAGAGATGCTTTAGTTTTGTTATAAATAAATTTGTTTATAATACAGTCTTCAGAGACGAAAATGTCACTGAATCTCTAAAAATTCATACGAACAAGCTGAATTTTTCTGAAAATATTATTTTTGGGACCCCAAAATATTTGTAAAGAATTATTGTAGTATCCTTTTCACCCGGCTTCCCTTTAAACCCATCCCCTCCTATTAGAGGAGCAAACGAAAAACATCGATTTACGAAGGATCTGTGAATGTTAGAAAAATATTTCAAATAAAAAATAGAGATAATTTTAAACAAAAATTTTCATTGGCACTTTTTGTGTAAAATAAACCGTTGTATTAAAAATATTGCTTGAAGCGACGCGGCTACACACGCGATATCAATTTTAAATAAAATTTGTACAGCTTATTTCAAATCTAGTGGCGAGCACTTAAACGAAATAGTTAATCGTGCTGACAATAGAATATCTATGATCAGACCCATGCAGTGGCGTTACAATATTCAACAAATTAAATTATTTAGAAATCGCACTAATTACAAAATTATTTCTCACTTATAATAATAATAAATGCAGTTTCATTGTACATAGACTGTTTTATAGATACCAAACTTTTGTTTATTATAATACCATCTTTAATAATTAATACTCTATAAAGTTTGGTAAAAGTTAATTTCTAATTTAGTATCAGTAACCTTAAAACCGTAATTATAAAGTCATTATTAATGGCTCCTTAACGACTCGTTAAGGACATACAAAGAACTGATAAGAATTATTTCCGAGAATATCTAGTCACTGAATTTCAAAAACGACTTCGTAATCGTAGTCTCATTACGTTGTCGAGTCTCAACAAGAAAGGTGCTACCGCGCGTATTAGAACTATTTTGTAGAATGGAGATGGTTAAGTGTAGTACGAGTAAACAGATCAGAATGACACTAGAATCCAAAGGAATAGTTTACAATGTATTTAAATATATCTTCTTCTTCCTATGCCGTCCCCATTAACGGAGGTTGGCGACCATATTTCTAAAAGTTTCTCTGTCTTTTGCAACGTGGAATAATTCATCTACAGCCATGACTTCCTCTTTCTACCTATTCCGTTTTTGCCATCGACTCTACCCTGCATGATGACCTGCAGAAGACTATATTTATCATTCCTCAGTATGTGTCCAAGGTGTGCAGTCTTGCGTACTTTTATTGTTCTCAACAATTTTTTTGTCTCGACTCATCCTTCTCAGCACTTCCTCATTGGTGACCCTGGCAGTCTATGGAATTCTCAACATTCTCCGGTATATCCAAAGTTCCAAGGCTTCAAGCTTCTTAACTATTTGGGCTTTTAACGTCCATGTTTCTACCCCGTACAGTAGTTGGGACCAGACGTAACATTCAACAAACCTCAATCTCAGCGCAGCATTCAGATTTTTGTCACAGAACAATTGGTTGAATTTTAAGAACGCTGCCCTTGCCATTTCTATTCGTACTCTGATCTCTTGGTCTGGATCTAATTCTGTGTTGATGTAAGCTCCCAGACATTTATATTTTGTCACTATCTATATTTGTTGTCCATCAAGGATTAGTTGTTTATTATTTATTGGACTCCTTGATAGTATCATAAATTTGGTCTTATATGTGTTGATGTCAAGTCCCTTTTAAATGCATTCACTATTTATTGCGTCTAGTAAAGTTTGTAGTTATTCTATACTCTCAGCCATAATTACCGTGTCATCTGCAAATCTCATGGTGTTTACGATTTCTCCACCAATTCTTATTCCCTCTTTTCTTTCCCATAAGTGTTTTTTGAATATAACCTGTATGTACACGTTGAAAAGCGTCGGAGACAAGACGCATCCTTGTCTGACCCCTCTCGCAATCGGTATATTATTTATTTCTCTATCGTTCGCCTTTACTACTGCTTTCTGGTTCCAGTATATAGCCTTAATAAACTCATTGGGTTTTATGTCTAAATTGATGTTTATTAGTTCATTTATTAACTTCATATGCTGCACTGGGTCAAATGCCTTCCTAAAGTCTATGAAGCATACATATGCACTCTTGTTATATTCCCGACATTTCTGCAAGAGTACCGTCAACCCAAATAATGCCTGTCTTGTACCCATGCCTCCTCTGAAGCCAGACTGTGTTATTCGGTTTTGAACAATTTTCAAGAGAATCTTTAAAGGGTGGCACATCAGGCTTATTAATCTATAGTCATTACATAATTTGGGATTGTTGTTTTTTGGCAGAGGTAAAAATATCGATTTAAGCCATTCCTCCGGGATGTTGCCCTCTACATATATGTGGTTGAGAATTCGGGTGAGTTTCTTTATATTACCGTCATCTAAGGCTAACAGTTCAACTGGAACTTGATCAGGACCCGGTGCTTTTCCTTGTTTTGCATTCTGTATGGCATGCTTTACTTCTGAGGGTAAAATTTGTAGGTATTGTTCTTCTTCATCTATATCTTATATATTATATATTGTTCCCACACTTCCTTTATTTTGCTCTCTTCAGTAAGTATTTCTCCATTATTATCTCTTGTTATGAGTGTTCTTCTTTGTCTGGTGTTGCGTGTAAGTTTTTTCATTTTTTTATGAAAGTTTCAGGTGTCATGTTTGTTGCTGAGTAAGTTATTAGCTCAACTATTTCCGGTGTCATCCAGTCGTTTTTAGTGGTTTTCTCTTCTTCGCCTAGGACCTCTTTTCCTGCTTCTAGTATGGCTTTTTTCATATCTGACCATTCCACGCTTCCTTCAGTTAATTTATTTATCTCTGTGTTAGTTGCTATTGGCAGTTGTCGTCTTTTAGGTTTTTGATGTTTATTTTGGTGCTTTTAACTTTTTTCTACGGTTTAAATATGGACATATAAAGAATATGGACATATTTCTTTAAAACTCTTGCCATATTATCCAGACTTCAACCCTATAGAAATGGTTTTGGCGAAAATAAGAAATAAAGTTGCAAAACAAAACGTTTATTTTAAGTCAAAAGACGTAAAAGTGTTGGTGGAACAGGAATTTGCTAGAGTAACTGTAGATAACTTGAAGAAAGTTAGTGAACATGTTGTCAAGGTTGAAAATAAGTATTTGGAAAGTGAACATCGCATTATAGTGACGACGACAGTGCATCTGATTATGAACGTGAATAATATAATAATTTAACATTACGATGTACCTATGTAACCTATGTGAATATAAGTTTTCCAAACTGTCCTGTATGTATGTATTATTTTTTTACTTTATTACAATCATTTTATATATTGTATTTTTAATTATAAATACTAAAGGTTTTAAAGTTAAAACAATCTTATATAAGATTGTATGACAATAACGTCTATAAAACAGACAATATATGTATGTGATATAATAATATGTATTTAAATGTAGTACAATATTCCCGAAAAATGTAATCTAATACCATTGTTTAATAAATTGTGTGTACCTATTTTTAACAATTTGATTTAAATCATAAGTGTTCTTTGGAACGCCACTGTTTTGTTTGGTGAGGCTTTACTGTTCCTAGGAATTTCTGCGACTATAGTTGAAACATACATAAACAAACTGTACATATTTAGAGTACATACAATCAAGTAGTTGCCGAGCTATACCTGTCACAATTTTCTATTCTTTTCTACAATTGTATACGCGGTCATTATGGCTCATTTATTAAAAATATAGAGAATAGAAATTTTAATAATGCTTTGTTGTTGCAATACAATACGAAGATATAAAGAATTATGTGAATTAATAATAAATATCCAGAACATTGTTTCTACGGTCAACGTGAAGCGTGTTTGAATCTTTGAAATTGATAAGGATAATCGATTAGATGTTATAACAGATCTTGAAAAAATTCCATATAAATCTTCCGGATAATCCTTACATTCCTTATAACATTCAATGGGTACCTACATGTACCTACATATACCAGCAGATATTGTTCTGAAGCTATTTTCTTGTGGCATTGTAAATTAAATACTATTAAACTGGAAATAAGCCACAATTAAAGATAAAAATACGTTTTAATTTCCACTTCGGAAATCGTTCTCAAAATACAAACAGTAAATTAAACAAATTTTGTTTTTTGTTACATAGTGAAAAATTCTTCTAATAATTTAATTTTATCTGACTCATTTATATTGACAATTCAGACATACAT